AGACTCCAAAAGTGTTTGTAAAAATGGCCACGCAAAAGCAGATTCTATTTTTTTTATTCGATTTGCTTTTAGTATTTCTATTTGTCTTTCTTTGCTATCTAGTTGGGAATTTCTTCTTTGAATTAATCCTTTTCTTTCACTAATATCTACATTACAAGAACTCCTTTAATCATTCCACCATCAAAATCACAAACCAGTCAATATCACAGTCTCTACAGTACCATTTTTAGCGAGAAGTAAGCATCTTACTGTGTGTCAATGGCAGATCCCCTCAACGTACACACTGGATCTTTCCTTCTCCACATGTGTCTACTGTGTGTCAATGGCAGACCCCCTCAACATACACACTGGATCTTTCCTTCTCCACATGTGCATTAATGGGAACTCTGTTCCTCCATCATCCCCTATGGTTCCCACATCATCACTTTCTCTCCATATTTCCACTATCATTTTTATTGGCATAAAAATATTATCTTGTAAAAAGAAGAGGAAATAAAGAAGGAAGGAAAATGGGGGGAAAGTGGAATGAGAGAAATGAAGAAAAACAACTTCCTTTCTAGCCCATTTCCCTTTACATTGTCTCCTTTACATCAACATGTCTTGAAATGAAGATTTATATTATTCACTTTTCTTCATCTCTTCTACCACTCTAAGCTCAGTCTACTCAAATCACACTACCAATTCACAACATCGCTAAGGCAGCTCTTATTCATGTCATTGTATTTTCAAATCCAATGACTCAGTCTTTATTCTGACCTCATTTATTTATTTATTTTTAGAAGTTTTGCTATAGGGTGTGGGTGCTTGCTGGAGAGAGACAGTGAGAGAAAAAGTGAAAAATCACCCCTCCTTCATAAGAGATGGCCATGCCATAACCCCTTCTCTTCCACTCTCCTCTGGGATTTTGTGCAAGCACACACATGTACCCAGCATGAGTTTTAAGCCACCAGGTCCAAGACTTGAACCGTAGTCATCCATGTGGGAGGTCAGCACTTCAACTACCTCTCCACCTGCTGGCCCCTATTCGTACTTAATTTGGACTCAACAGCATTTGACACAATCTGTTTCTCCACTTTTCTTAAACAGATTTTCTTTCCTTGACCTTAATATCTCCACATCTTTGTTTTATTTCTGCTCCACTGACGGCGATTGTGTAGAATCATTTTGAATTTTCCTACTCAGCCTAACTCCTAAGCTTTGAGTCTGCGAACCATCTTATATCTTTTTCTCTTTATTTACGTCTTTCACCTATGTGACCTCATCCAGTCCATATCCCTAAATTCTCACTGTAAAGCTCAATCAATCTTTCTAAAACTCAAAACTCATATCCATCTGTTGACTTCACTCTGCTTTTTGAAAGGTAGGATAAAATTAACATAGTCATTAAAACAGAATTTCTAATTTTTGTTCCCCAAATTGCTTTTTCTTGAGATTTCCTTTCTCAGAGATGATTGCCATTCACTCAGCTTTACAAGGATCATGTCCTTTTTTTTGTTCGAAATTCACTATTGTTTTCCAATAAATTACCATCATGCTAGGGATTGAATCACTAAAGTAAGTTCACTGTGCACTGGTCTGAGTCGAATGAAGCAGAATTCCCACTCATGAGAAATTACATGAGGCATGCTTTTTACTTATGAACAGGTATCAAGAAACAAGAGAAGCCTAGAATTCATTGCAAATCAGTCCCCCAAGGCACACACACACACACACACACACACACACACACACACGCAAACTTCCTTATGGTGGATAGAGTCTCAAGTACACATGCACCAGTTGTACCGTATCTGAAGGACCATAAAGAGCAGCCTTCCCTGAGTCTTAGACTTTGGGAATCATTAGACTCACTGGGCTAAAGCGCTAAAGGACATCCTGTTTGTAGGGATACCACAATAGACCCTGAACTGTTCCAGTCATTTCCTCTTTATCTTAAGACATTGCATTCCCAACATATTCAACAGTTATTTCAAGCACTATAAGCAAGGAAGTGGGAGAAATAGGCTAGTCCAAGGTCACCCAGAAAACTATCCTGCAGAATCGTGCCCCAAACCTTTATTTGTTCACAGTGCTCCCCGCAATCTGACCCTATGTACCTCTCTGATGCCCTGTTCTATGTCCCTTTCCTCCTTCACTTTGTTCCAGCCACATTGGCTATTTGCAATTTTTGAACATTATGTACTAACTAAAATGCTAGACCAGTCACTTTAATGTAGCCGCCAGTGTTCTCTATCTTACTGTTCTCTTATAATTCTCTGCATTGAAATTACTATTATCTGATATTCGTCTTTTTGATTTGTATTCCATCAAACAGAATGTTAACCCTATGAAGATGGAAACTTCATCAATGTGTTCTACATTGTCTCCCCAAGTCCATAACAGGCTAGCACATACTAGACATCCCACAATTTCATAAAATTGCGGTAAAAATTTCAAGAATAATACATTTGAATAGTATGTGACCCAATATATGTTAATATTGTTATTTTAAATTATGTTTTCACTGGTATCATCATTTATATTAATAGTGTTGTAAGTATTGTTAGGTAAAAAGTTTATATGTATATACATGTGTGTGTGTTGTTGTTTGTGTGTTTGTGTGTGTGTTAGGAAGACTGTAGCTTCCTATCAAAGTATTGACATAATGGGACATACGTTTAGCAATATCCCCCATGTGTTACGGCAGCCTTCATGCTATTAGCAAACACTTGGATGTCAGAAGGAAGAGCAAGCATTTACTTCACACAGACATGAAGAAAGTAGGATTATATAACAACGACCTTTGACAGGTCCTAATTTAAAAAGAGTCCAGCATGTGAAGCTAGGGTTTCATCAGGTTATTTTCCGACCTGGACAACCACAAATGTCCGTCTGTCTTCCTGCAATCACAGCTGACAGGATTGCCTGATGCTTCCAGCTTCAGGACATCTCCTCAACTTCTCCCCAGGAAGAGTCCTCAGGATCTCCCAGGAGGGCTCAGTCACAGAAGTGAGATGACAAACAGAACGTCATCATTAGGGAAGTGTCACAATAAGATGCACATGTTGTGCCGCTGCTGTGGTTCTCAGGCCTATAACCTTCAGAAGTCGACCTACAGCAAATGTGGCTACCCTGCCAAGCGCAAGAAAAAGTATAACTGGGGTGCCAAGGCTAAAAGACGCAAGACCACTGGGACTGGTCGAATGAGGCACCTAAAAATTGTATACCGCAGATTCAGGCATGGATTCCGTGAAGGAACACCCAAACCCAAGAGGGCAGCTGTTGTGGCATGCAGTTCATCTTAAAGATTTCAACGATTAGTCAAGCAATAAATGTTCTTGGTAAAAAAAAAAAAAAAAAATACCAGGATGGTCTGCACCACTATTTTTAAAAGTTTATACATTTATTTCTTCCATAAATAAGAGAGACAGAGAAAAAGAGAGAGAGAGAGAGGCTGCACTCCCAACAAGGTCTTCATATCAGGAATCAAGCTTTAATCCTACATCATGGCCATGTGCAAGCCCAGTGTATTCAGTGGGATTTCAGGAAACGAATCCAGAACTTTCCCTTGTGAGTCAGTCTCGCAGAACTTCTCATTTTATCATTGTGCCACTGACTCACCTTTACTGCTATTGATGAAAAGACTTTGAGAAATCAAAGTAGGTCTTTCCCCACAAAACACATGTGGATATTTCAGGAAAAATAAAAATTATCCTTAGAGATTTTTCAACTTTCAAAGAAAATCTGTTACCTTGTTCCAGATACTAAAAATGAAATCTTAACTAAGACCAAGAAAGATTATTTTACCATAGTACATAAGAGAGTTTTTAAAGATTATTTTTAAAGGGATGAATATTTTCTGTTTTTAGCTATTCAATGACTTTAGTAGGCCCAAGGTACTTTTGTGATATATATACTCCTTTCTTTCTAAATGTTAGAGAAATATTTTTATTGTGTTAACAAATATAAAATGAATGCTATATATTATGATATTTCTCTTGACCTAAAAAGTTTACTATTTTACCTTCAGATTTTAAAATAAGTCAAAACATTATTGTGGGCCCCTGAAAACATGGGGGACTCGAATTTGTACTTATAGTGCCTAATGAATAAGTGGGTGCTGCGCAATGAAAGAGGAGACTACCACGAAGGCAGATAGCCTCTCAAGTGGCTGATTCTTCAAACAAAGTGCTACATTGGCATCTTCTATTTTCACAGCATTCTATGTTACTGATACTCATTCAAAGCGTATGTAGAGCACTTAGAACACCTAGGACAATAAATACAAGGACTGCAGTTGGCTCAGATTATTAGAGGAGCAAAAGTAAATATATTTCTCTACTAAAAATATTCAAATATGGTGCTATTTACTGTCCTTGGCTATATAGCAAAGGTAAATAGAGAAACCTTCATAATCTGATCTTAACCTAAGAATACACTATACTCTTACCTATCTAATCTACTCCCTGTTCCCAGTTACTTTTCATTATACTTTGACTTTCCCTATTCCTATTTGCTTTAAATGAAATATTGTGTCCATTTCAGGCTTAACCCCACAGTACCAAATCTTAAGAGTTAGCCTATTCTATCAACTTCCCTAGCAGATCTTTCTCTGCCTCCCTCTCCCTGTACTATAAAGGCATATTAGCTGATAATGGCACTGCTTCATTCTTTCCTTAACAGTATAACTTATCTAGGGGAAGGCAGCACATGTGTCCATCTTTGTGGCTATACTAGAAATTTATTTGTATCGGGAACCAGCAGTTAGCGTAATGGCTATGTCACTGGACTCCCACGTAGTTGACCGTGGTTCGTGTCCCGGACCCGGTGGCTTAAAACTCACGCCGGGCACGTGTGCGTGCATGCCCAAGATCCCGAGAGGAGAATGGAGGAGAAGGGATTGCGGCGTGACCATCCCCCCTGGGGGGTGATTTCTCACTTTCTGTCTCTATGTCTCTCTCTGTCTGTCTGGCGAGCGCATGCGCCCGGATATTGGGCACACACGTACACACACCTGGCATTAAAAAGCTCTCAAAAAAAAAAAAAAAAAAAGAAATTTATTTGTATCCAAAATGTCTTCTGACACTTTGCTGGATATTTATCAATATTTTTACATTAACTTCCAAAATCCCTAAGAGAAACAAGTTTTAAAGTTTTTGTCAGTAATTTATACTCTGGTATATGTTAAAATTTTGAAAACAGATTTTAATAAGGAAAACTGCAGGGGGAAAGATAGAGGTTCTAGGATAAAGGCAGGGAAAAAACGTGCCTCACTAAAAGACAATCATTACGACTCCTACTCTTGTTAGTTTCATGGGATATCAAATTTTTTCTTGTTAGAGTCAGCTTTGAATTCAATTAAATTTGTGTTGTTGTGGAAGCATCATAATAAAGTGCTCAAAAATATATGCTCCTTGGGAACCAGCAGTTAGCATAATGGTTATATTGCTGGACTCCCACATATTCAGCCGTGGTTTGCGTCCCGGACCCAGTGGCTTAAAACTCACACCGGGCACATGTACATGCATGCCTAAGATCCCGAGAGGAGAATGGAGGAGAAGGGATTGTGGCGTGACCATCTCCCTGGGGGATGATTTCTTGCTTTCTGTTTCTCTGTCTATCTCTGTCTGTCTGGCGAGGGCTCGCGCCCTATAGCGAAAAAAACTCTTAAAAAAAAAAAAAAAAATTCCAGAATCTTTGAAACTTGAACACAAGTACTGACTTCTTAAAAAAAAAAAAAAAAGTTCCAGAATCTTTGAAACTTGAACACAAGTACTGACTTATTCCATAACTTACTTGCTATAAAACCCTGTTCAATTTAAGACACTTTTATAAATGTAAATCTGTAAAAGATGGTGATTCTTAATTAATTTATTGGGTCATCGGTTAAAGTCATAATGCATTTTTGCAAAGAAAAAAATATGTCATTATTGAGCAGATTCAGGAAAATTCCATCACTATAATGTTTACTCTTCCCTAAAATTCAGTGAAAAAAAAATAATAAAGACCGTTTCCTTTGCCACTTTTCAAATAAAGTAACACGTCACAAATGTTTCAAAATGACAATAAAAAGAAAGTGTTCTAAAATCAGAACAATGGTCAGGGCTATGTATCTGACTGGAAACAGGTGTTTGGGTAAAAGATACCCTAGCCCTTACCTGCATAGCCAAGCACTACATTTCTTTCATCACTGCGGTTTTGGGAATTTTTTATCCCTGGAGGAAAAAACTAACAAAATCAAAGAAAGCTTGATTTCAGAGACACCAAGCACAAAAGATGATGGGAGAAGTCACCATCCTGTAAACAATGAATTAAGTAAAAGTCTGCATACATAAGAGTAAAGCTTTCAACCCTCTTCTCATACCACTTTCAGTTTCAACAATGAGACATGTACTAGTCTACAAATCCTGAAGACAAGCATACTAGCTAGCAGTTGCCCCTCCCTCAAGTAAAGATGACCAATGGGTAGTACTTCCTTTGCAGAATAAGCTTCTAATCAGTGTAGTCAATAATGGTTAGATATTCAAGTTATAATGATAATAAAATATTTTGAAAGAAAAGGAATAACAAAATCAGTAGAAAATAGAGATATATTAATGTAAGAAAAAAATTATAGGAAAATAATGCCACTGGTCTATTTGGAAAAATAATATATAATACTACTTTCATAAAACATAAACAGAGAATAAGGGGACCAGCTGATGGCATGGTGGTTAAAGTGCTGGAATCCCTCTTGGCCAACCATGATTCAAAACCTGGACTTGGTGCTTAAACTCACACCAGGTACAGATGCACACATGCCCAAAATCTAAGAGGGGAGTGGAGGAGATGGGATTGCAGTGTGGCCATGACACCTGGGGGTGATTTCTTATTTCTATCTCTGTGTCTCTTGTCTGTCTCTCTCCGATGAGTGCACAATCCCTATGGCAAAACCTTAGAGAGAGAATATGCAATGGACCATAAAAATTATATTTTTTTAAAATTTTAATTCACTGAAAGAGTTCAAATATGAGCTCAAGATAATATTTATTTATTTTTCTAATTGCCAGAGAGTACATGTGCTCACCTGAGAGAGAAAGCACCTTCAAATGGGGCATAGTCACACTGTATTCCCTTCTCCTCCATTTCTCCATCCTGTTGGGATATTGGGCATGCGAGAACATGTATCCAGTGTATTTTCCATCCCATATGATTTAAAGTGTGGTCAGCCATGTTGAATCCAGCTTCTTTAACCACTAGGCTATGGCGCCATCTCGAAAACAATCATAGAAGGAAAAACACAAGAAATTAATAAAATATAAGATGATCAGAGGATCAAGTTAGGAGTTGAAAGTAGACTAGTAGAAAACATAGATGATGATAGGGAAGATGTTAAGAAAAAAAAATGTAAGGAAATCTTCCTGAGCTAAAAGAAATATATTTCTAGGCATATGTCCAGACTGAAGAATGAAGACTCATACCAAAGAACAAAATCATAAAACTCAAAATGTCATATATTAAATAAGATCTTGTTTCCCATGAGAAAAACAAATAAGTCTGCTCTTTTTAAAAAGTTAATATACAAGGGGTCAAGAATCAGAAAGTATCAGAGCTCTCAGGAAAAATACTTGGAGATAGCTAACAATGGAATGGGGTAGGGAACAGACATGTCAGACACGGAACAGCAAATCATTTTGTTTTGTTTGTTTGCCATAGGGACAAAGGGAGAGAGAGGAAGAGAGAAATAGTGAGAAATCACCCCTCAGGTGTGCAATCCCTTCTCCATGATGCAATCCTTTTCCTCTACTATTCTCTTGGTATTTTGGAGCATGCATACACCTACATTCAGCATATTTTCCCAGTTACCAGGTCCAGGATTCGATGTGAGAAGTTGACCATGTGGGATCTGGCCACCTTAACATGCCTTCCACCTGCTGACCCAAGAAAACCCCCTAGTTTTAAAAACATTCTTCAGAAAGCCTATAGAGAATTTATTCCACAAAACCAAGGAAGTAGAATAAAATAAATAATGAGCATTTTAGAAGAAAACTGTGAGGCAATGCTATCAGTAGTATTAGCTATTGGTAGGCCTAGACTGAGAACAGTCAAACCAGATTTAAGGCCCAGTCATGGTGGCATGAGTGAGTGATCACTGCTCTAAGTGGCTGAGGCTGGACAAGAGGTCTGGTTTGTATTCCCAGACCAACTTCAACAAGCAGGACACAATGGCACGCATCGTGGTTCTAGTTAACTAGAAAGCGGGGACACAAAGATTGAGACGCAATGAGATCCTATTAAAAAACATTTGTCTTTTTCTGGGACCAGC